TGAAGTTTCTCTAATCCCACTTCTGTAAAATAAGGTTGGGTAACAACAGATCTCTATTACAAGGTTCATTGAACTAATAAAGCTTATTATGTGGCCTGATTAGAATGTATTGTTTAAAACAAACTTTTATTTTGTGGTTGTAGTTTTTTCCAGAATGTGTGGCTTTCACATATGAAATGGGAAAAATGTGAAATTAACTCTATCACTTATCTATTATGAATTCATCACCCATAAGTGTCACAGTTTGTACAATGAACATACGAAACAGCTTTCTTGCTAAAGACACAGGAACCTCTCTTATACTAAATCAGACTATTAGTCTATCAAGGTCAGTATTCTCTACTCTGACCAGCAGCAGCTTTCCGGATCTCAGGCTGAGATCTTTCATATCACCTATTACCTGAGCCCTTAATGGGAGAAGAGATGCTGGGAACTGAACCTGAAACTTTCTGCATGCAAAGCAGAAACCCAAACGCTTGCCACAGCCCCACACCCTTGTGCTCTGATGGTGCACTCACATTCCAGAGGCATTATAATAAAATAATTTTTAATTAAATTTTTGCCTGGACAGTGTTTCAGAATAATATATTTCAGTCTTAATTAAGTAAGGTGTTCTTACATTTGCATGGACCCTTGAACCACTGGAAAGCTGCAGATTTGTGATTACAATTGCTTTGCAAATGTGATCTTGCATCTTATGATAAAATAATGACATGTAATAGGAGCTCTGCAGACTTACTGGATATCCTTTGTTGCTATTGTAATAGTTCTACAACACACTCTATTATGCTGAAATATGAATTAACATTGTTTGGCCAACATAATCCCATGCTGTAATCATACTTTTAGAATATTAAAACGGGGCTGTTTATACTGTGAGTTGTAACTTTCTATGTAACAAAAAAAATGAATGAAATTTAGCTGTGTTTGTTTCCATCAATATCAAGTGGAGTCATCCAGCTAAATAAACCTGTGTAATTTGAGCTGGGGAAAAACTGATCTTGTTCAGTCACCAAATCTCATTGTTCAGTATTATTGTTACTGTTATATCGCTAGGATATAACCACCATGAAAAGTAGCTCATCTGTATTCTCAATAATATCAGTAGTTTTTAAAACCAGAATTGTTAAAAAACTAGAATCTAGCCTATCTATTATGCCTTCAACATGGAGCAAGAGTTACAGTTTGCTAATTCTGTTTTGCTGCACAAGATAGTGTGTTGTTATAGTTAGTACCACTGTCAGCCAGAATCTATTCATGTATACTCAGAAGTAAACTCACTTGTCCTTACTTACCCGTACATCCAAATAAACATGTACAGAATTGTAGTATATTTTCTATTCATCTAGGCATACAAATGCATTTGTAATCTAAAATGAGATAAAAAGGGGAGGAAATTACACACTTCTCATTTTCAGAAAATACCAATGTTATCCTGAGCAATGTTGTGTGTGTGCTAAGTGTTGTCACGTCACTTCTGACTTATAGCAACCCTACGAATTAATCACCTCCAAAACATACAATCATTAACAGCCTTGCTCAGGTCTTGCAAATTGAAGGCCGTGTCTTCCTTTATTGAGTCAATGCATCCCACTTTGGGTCTTCCCAGGGGTCATTTCGTAGAAAAAGAGGTGCAGGAGCTCATTAGCATACATCATTAGCACAACTTATTTGCATATGCCACACCCCCTGACATCACCGGAAGTGTGTCAGAAGGCAACACTCACTGCTCAGGCTCCACTGGACTGTTTTGGATTGCTAGCTATTGGGGGGGGGGAACATGCAGATCTGTCCTTGCAGAGGAGGGAGAGCTTGTACCTGAATAAAACTTGGTCTTAAAGGTGCCACTGGACTGTTTTGGACCGGGGTGGGCCTCTGCAACTTACCTGGCTGCTTCTTGCTCTGACTGAGGGCTGCTGGGAGCAGGGAGTGGGGCTTGTTGCATGTGCCTACCCCCTGGGCTCTTTACTGCCGGAGCTCCGCTCCTCTGTGCTCCTGCAGGAAATGACCCCTGGCCTTTTCTAGCATTATTGTCTTTGCCAGTGACTCTTGTCTTCTCATGTTGAGACCAAAGTATGATAGCTTCAGTTTAGTCATTTTGGCTTCAAGGGAGAATTCAGGCCTGATTTGATCTGGAACCCAGTAATTTGTCTTTTTGTCTCCTCCAACACCACATTTCAAATGAATCAATTTTCTTCCTGTCAGCTTTCTTCATTATCCAGCGGCATTGTAATATGTAATCCATACATAGAGAACACCATAGTATTAACTATTACACCCTTCAAAGTCTAATGGTGTCAATGGGCTTAAGAAGGATGTAACTGTTTAGGATTGCATTGCCAGGCACACAAACCAGACTGACAGTGCAATCCTATCCAAAGTTACCCCAGTCTAAGCCCATTGACTTCAATGGATTTACACTGGAGTAACTGCACCAAACCGCACTGTTAGACTAAGTATTACCAACTCAGCTAGACCTTTACATTGGCTATGGAATAGCTTGTATTTGCAGATCTGTCCTTTCCGTTTCAATGGGCAGCAGGATAAATGGCATTATTACCTTCAGATCTCCCTGCCTTGACCAGCAAAGGTCCTCTACTATGCTGAAATGAACAAGTTGACTCCTCTGCTGCTGGATATACCTTGGGCTGAGGGCATATCTAAACAGGTGTGTCCTGCACTCCTAGCATCTTAGTGTACAACCAGAAATGTGGGGAACAATATCTGGCAGGTGCGTATGTGCGTGTGTACACTAGCTTTTAACAACATTAAATGAAATGTATCATTGCAGCATACAAAATTAAGAAAAAAATTAATTACATAACATTGAGGGTGAACAAAATTGAAGCTACATGCACACAAGACATGCTTCTCATGTTATGTTTTTAGAGTTACTGTCACAACTGAAATAGCTACATGAATATGTTTGCTCCCATATAATGTGCCAGGAATATGTGCCAGCAAGGCATGGCAATTGTAGCTTTCTAATACATGTACATGTTTTTTTTCCTTTTTAAAGTTCCTTTAGAACTTGTAGTGTACACCAGGTATACAGTTATTGCATGTATACAAGTCATTACTGCATGTGCACATGGTGGAATAGATGATGTTAACAACTTTACAGCATTCACACTTTGAATATACAATGTGTGAAGCAGTCCTCCTGAGTACAGCTCATACTCAGCAGATTGCTAAAATTACAGCTTTCAGTTCCATACGAGCCTATTTACATATAGCATGCCAAACCATTAAATGCCAGCATCTGCATCTCAATAGATGGTGAAGAATTCTGTACTTGTATAGACTGTTTGAGTGTAAAAGGCATTCCAGGTTACTGCAGGTAAACCCCTGCTGTCTTTGTTTTTGTGTAACAAGTATTTCCCAGACATTGTTGAACCATTGTTTTCCAAATAGATGCTTTCAGAATTTCTGTCTGTCTGCCTCTGTCTATCTTCCTGCACTGGTCCTACTGTACTTCCCCTCAGTTTGGTGTAGTGGTTAAGTGTGTGGACTCTAATCTGAGAGAACCGGGTTTGATTCCCCACTCCTCCACTTGCCCCTGCTGGATGACCTTGGGCAAACCATAGTTCTGGCACAGCTGTTCTTGAAAAAGAGCAGTTTCTGTCAGAGCTCTCTCAGCCCCATCTACCTCACAGGGTGTCTGTTGTGGGGAGGGGAAGGAGTTTGTAAGCTGCTCTGAGACTCCTTTGGGTAGTGAAGGGCAGGGTATAAATCCAATCTTTTCTCTTCTTCTTCTCACTCTCTTCATGCTGTGGGAATTGGATCAGAGAATGTGACAGCATTCTTACAACTTCATGGCAAACAAGCCCAGGTGGAACATCTTCTCATGAGCCCATTATGGAAAACCCACCACCCCCTGCTCCATGTGTGTGGACATGGTGATTGTGGATGTCATGAGAGAATTCTCCTCCTTGCTCCTAGAGTAAGGGCTCTTCCAGTTGTGCAACAAGTAGTCAAACTGTATTATTTTATTTATGGTTTAATGTGACAGCTTAGACTCAAATTCCAATCACAGTCTCAGTCCAAGATGTGCAATCATCAACAAAGTGTGCTGCTGAACATGTGCCAGAACAGTCTTAGCCATACTCCAACATTTCTGGGGTTGGGGTAAGGGCTTTGCACTCTCTACAAACAACTTAGGCGGTGCTTCCAGTGAAGGGGCAATGCAACAGCTCCAGACCAAGAAGAGGCCCAGAAATCGTCATGACGTCATAGAGGACCCCGGAATGCAGAGGAGGACACAGCTGCCCACAACACAAGAGGTGAGCCACAGGATCCCCGGGCGCCAAGCTGCAGAAGATACACGCACCTGCGCCAGCAGTCGCACCTGTGAAGCGATGTGCGATCCCTAAACGTAGCATAAGCTTGGCCCTTGCAACAGATGGCTTCGGCTAACTAGTCATCACCCCCAGTCGTTTCAACACTATAAAACCGCGGCAACTCTCTCGCCTTGACTCCCCACGTTTCCGAACTGAGTATTGAGGCTCTTTCGAAACCGGGATTAACCGAGAGCCCTTCGGGCAGTATCGACAACCCCCGTGCGCGGAAAGGAATCCGCCATACGGGATAGCCTCTGGCCGGGCTGGGCTCCCTCCTTCCCTGCAGCCGCCGCCT